TTCATGACATCATTTTAACACGCTAGAATTAGTCAAGAAAGAACATTCTACAGTTACTTTCATGAATCAATAAACAGTTATTCTCACAGTTCATAAGGCATATAATCCTACACTGGAAAACCAAAGACAGCATAGCTACAAATGTTTATCAAGTGTGATTGTTGTAGACAAGTTTTTTTGCTCTTGTGCACTTGCTCCCTCTTTTCTTTTTTTCTAAAAAATGAGATTTTGCTCTGTTACTCAGGCTGGAGCCCTTTTTGTTCTCTTTGAGGAAGTGGTGTACTCACAGGCTCGGTTCCGGGTTTTGTAAGTACAAGTATAGAGGCTGCAGGGCCTGGCTGGCATGAATCTTGGAATCTGGAACTTTCTCCACAGCAATTTGCCTGGAGATGCTTGAAGAATGACCCTCAGGCTGTTCATCACCACCATCTTGAGTTTGAAATCTTGAACAGTTCCCAGTTAAGTTGCAGGAACCTAATAACCTAGGGGAAGGAGGGCAGAGGAGGGAAAGCTGTAAACAACAGAGACTTAAGATCATGGAGAAACCTATAAGTATAACATCATTCTTACTAGTAATATACACCCTGAGGTGGAGGGAGGGAGGGCAGATGAGAGTCAACAGTTTAGCCACTCTTGTTCCTCAAACTCATTGGTCCCCTCTGGGGAGGGCAGGGAGGGTCCTGAGGACAAGCTCACATGCTTTGCCTTGCCCTCAGGATTGGCAAATATTAGAAGTCCAGAGAAAAGCTTCTCTTTATCCACAAGAATGAAAAAGCTGTTTACAGTACAGTTTCTTAAAATTAAAAACAAATTGCTTCAGGAAATCCCAATTAATTATCCTGCATGGTATTTACACGTACAAAGAACCCCAACATTAAAGCTCCCTCCAGACTGTCTGAATAAAAACAAACATCTGTACTAGATTGCTTAAGAAACAAAACAAAACGAAACAAAAAGCCAAGATACATCCTGCCAAAATAGTCATGGGCAGTTTTGAAACCTGAGCTTAAATATAATCTGTGACTCTGCCAATTTTAGGTGTAATGCAATGGCCCTTGAACATGGGAAAATGGACAAAGTTAATCCTGAATTCTCTCTCTACCTTTCACATGGTCACAGTCAAAGTCTCAGAAGATGACACTTTCCAAGGTATTCACTATGGTGTTCTGAAATTATGATAATATTAACTTTTAACACTCTCCCCACCCCAATATTGCTTCATCCATTTTCCGTGAAAACTGTCCCTGTTCCAAATGAACAAATACATTCTGAAATGAAAAAAAAAAAAATCCATTTTTCTTGGTTACGAATTCATTCCACTACAGATTTTGAAGTGTTTACTCTGAGTACTTGAGACACATTCAGACAGCTGTTCAGGACACCATTTGTGCAACCATGACTGTGATATGGCTACAAGGCCATGTGCCCTGGCCCTGCTAAAATCTATTTGTACTCCTGCCTGCCCACCAGCTACTTGGACTTCAGTTCTTCCAACTCCTTCCTGTCTTTCCCTTCGGCCTGTGCAGATGCTCTTCTTTCTTGGACTCTCCCTCCATCTGTGCCTGGTGAATCCTCAGCCCCGCTTCAGGTGACTGATGCCAGTGTCACTTCCTCAAAGCTCCCTTGACCACATGCTCACCAGGTCAGCCCAGAACCCTCTTTGTGGTCACTGTGCTTATTGAAGTTGAATTAATATCTGACCAGGAATGTATTTTTCGACTGTATCCTCTCCACTATCTAGGCCCCACAGTGGTAGGGACCATGTCTGCCTCAGTCAGAGCTGCATCTCTTAGTTTGGTAGGAGTTATTGATATGCAAATGAAGACCATTAGAAACTGGACCCACCCAACATGGCTATTCCCACCATTGTTGACTTGCCCTTGTCCCCACATGTGCTTGGTAACATGGCTGCCCCCACATATCCCCACGTGTATAGAACATCATAGTGCCCTGCATTTGCATATTAAAAGACTAGGATGGAAGGACCAGTTTTTTTCACGGGCTACATAAATAACATACCTGGTCAAACTAATCCCCTGAGCCCTATGCAAATCAGACACCGCCTTCTCCAGCCTCTACATATATCTAGCTGGTTTCCACCCCACTTGGGGTCTCCTCTCTCAGCTTTGGAGCACCCCCTTTTGTCTCTGTAAGAGAAGCTTCTTTTGTCTTTTCCCTTCCTTCTTGCCTATTAAACTCTCCGCTCCTTAAAATCACTCCATGTGTGTCCACGTCATTTTATCTAATTCAACTCAAAACAAAAAACCCTGGTGTTTACCTTTAAAAAAAGTGACGATCAAGGGAAACACACAAGCAAACCACTTGATAGCAGAGTATTCTATTGCCTCAGGTTCTACCTTCTCCGGCAAAAAGGATGACTCACCAATATCACCATGGCCAGGGGCAAAAGGCACAAAAAGAGAAGTTGAGGGGCACTAAAGACACACTTGTCAAAGCTGATCATACAAACTCCGTCTTTCAGCCAGGTGCGGTAGCTCACTCCTGTAATCCCAGCACTTTGGGAAGAAAAAGGGGCAGGATTTCTTGAGCTCAGAGAGTTCGAGACCAACCTTGGTTACATAATGAGACCCTGTCTCTATGAAAAATAAAAAATTAGCCAGGTATGGTGGTGGGTACCTGTAGTCCCAGCTACTCAGGGGGCCGAGGTAGGAGGATCGCTTGAGCCCAGGAGGTCGAAGCTGCAGTGAGCCGTGACCATGCCACTGCACTCCAGACTGGGCAACAGAGCAAGACTCCGTCTCAAAAAACCAAAAACAAAAAACACTCCTGCCCCAGGCCAAAAAGAAATCCCGAAATTGGGTGCTTCTTGTCATACCCAACTAAATCAGAGTCAAGGGGACAGGGGGAAGCAGTACTCAGGCACATAGCACCTGCTCCAGGAATTAAATTTTCCATAAGCCAGTTGCTAAAACTGTTGTAACCTGAGACCAGTTTTATCTTATAGCTACTAAAACAACTTGCTGTGCCTCTCAAAATAGGTTTAGCCACCGCCATCACTCACTAGTTAGTGCTTGTCAGGTCCCAAAAACTTTACTAGTGCCAATGAATTTTCTTTCAAAACAATATGTAACATTCCTCCTTTTTATAAAACCTCCAACCTACTCTTTGTTCCTCAGACATGCTGAAGGCCATCCAGTCTGTGTGCATGCCCCAAATTGTGATTCTTGCTTCCCAGATAAAATGTTACATTTGGGCCAGGCACAATGGTTCATGCCTGTAATCCCAGCACTGTAATCCGGGCACTTGGGGGGCCAAGGTGGGCAGATCACCTGAGGTCAGGAATTCGAAAGCAGCCTGGCCAACATGGTAAAACTCTGTCTCCACTAAAAATATACAAATAAAAATAAAAATTGGCTGGGCATGGTGGCGCATGCCTATATTCCCAGCTACTTGGGAAGCTGAGGCAGGAGAATCACTTGAACCCCTAAGACAGAGGTTGCTGTGAGCAGCGATCGTGCCCCTGCACTCCAGCCTGGGCAACAGAGGGAGACGCCATCTCAATAAACAAAAGTTACATTTAAAGATATATCTCTTTTATTTTGACTTGATGCATTTCACTTACAGACCTGAACTTTATTTCTTCATACCATCTTTCCAGAAGAGTGTAAGAAATGAAACCCACGTCACGGTTCCCAGTGATGCTGAGCAAGGAGGCAAATATTGTGCTTTCATCCGCCCCTCTCTTTGTGCACATTCCTGCTAGTAATTGGCTGTGAACTAGCTCTTCTCTGTACTGTTGTCCTTGACCCTGCTCCATCTGAGCTAGATGGGAGGAGGCTACACCTATGTGGAAGGAGGGAGAATCATCTCTGTGTGCATTGTGAAATGAAGCACACAGCAGGGTGAGAAGCCGGTCTTTCAGCACAGTGCCATGCACTTCGCTCTGCATATGCGTCACTTTGCTAATGTGCACTGAACTCAGGGAACCAGAGATGTGCGGCCATTACATTAAAGGGGACTGGTAGGAAATCAGTGAATCCCATGGAGGTTCCTTATCTCTAGGCCTAACTCCCTACGTGAGGTCTTCAGGCCAACGTATTAGCTTGGAAGAAAGTACCATAGATTGGGTGGCTTAAATTTGTTGTCTCATGGTTCTGGAGGCTAGAAGGCTGAGATTCAAGTTGTTTGCAGGACCGGTTACTTCTGAGGCGGTGAAAGATCTGTTCTAGGCCTCTCTACTGGGATGCTTAATTTTATGTGTCAACCTGGCTAGGTCATGGTACCCATATATTTGGTCAAATACCAGTTTAAATGACACTTTGAGGCTGGGCATGGTGGCTCATGCCTGTCATCCCAGCACTTTGGGAGGCTGAGGCGGGAGGATCACTTAAGGTCAGGAGTTCAAAACCAGCCTGGTTAAAATGGTGGAACCCTGTCTCCACTGAAAATAAAAAATTAGCTGGGCGTGGTAGCTCGTGCCTGTAATCCCAGCTACTTGGGAGGTTGAGGCACGACAATTGTTTGAATTCAGGAGGTGGAGGTTGCAGTGAGCCAAGATCGCACCACTGTACTCTAGCCTGGGCCACAGAGCAAGACTCCATCTCAAAGAAAAAATAATAATAATGTCACTTTGAATGTACTTTTTAGATGAGATTAACATTTAAATCAGTAGACTTGAAATAACGTTGATTACCATTCATGTGGATAGGTCGTACCTAATCAGTTGAAAGCCTTAAGTGAAAAAAGACTGAGATCCCTTGAGAAAGAGGAAATTCTACTTCCAGACTGTCTTAAGACTGGAGTTGTGCTATGGTTTGAATGTGTCCCCCAAACTTCATGTGTTGGTAACTTAAGGCTATCCCTAAGTGAAAGGAGAGGAAAAATTATACCTGACAAGCCATGTCCAATGAAAACAAGTTGCTGAGTTACTTCCTATCACTACCCTTCAAGGAACAATTGAGGGCTCCAGGCAGAACTCTTTCACTGGCTATCAACAAGCCATCTGCCTGAACAAGTACTATATCAATCTTTCTACCTAGTGCCATTTGCCACTTTGCCAATGTACAATGAACTCAAATTACATAAAGAGGGACTGGCAGGAAGTTAGTGAAATCCATGGAAGCGCCTAATTTCCAGGCCTAATTCCTTACCCAGGGTGTGTAGGCCGATGACATATAAAGTACATCTGCATTGTGCAAAGGTGTTTGAAATTCACAAGCCAAAGTTAAAGTCAGTTTTGTTTATAATTTTTTTTTTAAGACAGGGCCTCACTTTGTCACCCAGGCTGCAATGCAGCTATGTGACCACAGCTCACTGCAGCCCCAACCTCCCAGGTTCAAGCTATCCTCCCACCTTAGCCTCTCACGGAGCTGGGACTACAGGTGTCAGAGGCATTTGAACCAGTGCAACTCCATCTTGAATACAAGCTGAGTAAAATAAGACTGAGGCCTACTTGGCTGCATTCGCAGGAGGTTAAGGCATTCATAGCACAACTCCAGTCTTAAGTCAGTCTGGAAGTAGAATTTCCTCTTTCTCAAGGGATCTGTCTTTTTTCACTTAAGGCTTTCAACTGATTAGGTAAGACCTATCCACATGAATGGTAATCAACATTGTTTCAAGTCTTATTTCAAGTTACAGGGTGAGACAGGAGGTCAGCACAAGATACAGTGGTCGTAAAGATCTTGCTGATAAAACAG